CCAAGTTTAAAAACATGAATTTCAATCGGTTTATATGGAATACAACCTCATTTTTCCTTTATTAAAGGAAAGTACTAACTGCAATGCCTTGAATATTTGTTTACTGGTCGGCAATGATAGAGGGCCACTTTGTCTTAGCCATTGTATCCCACTGGATAGGCTGGCCTCTGGGCCTTGCCAATGACCATAATACCTTTTGTATGTCGAATACCCATATTCTGTTCAGGTATTACATCGTCTTCCGCCTCCAGAAAAGTCTCCAGGCGCTACATTGGTGGCAGCGGAAAACAACCCTGATCTTAAAGGGCATCTACCTTAATTTTTACTGTTGGGTCATTAGCCCTACTGAGGCGGAAGTTCATATGCTACGGATGGGAGAATCAGTGACGATCCCAAACAGAAGGGCTAAAACTGACGCTTGACTTAGGCACATCTTTTAGTTCTGCCTTTTATAGGAAAGCTACTAACAGCTGAAGTGACATTATTCCTTGAATCGCCTGGAAGCTTCACCACAGAATTTCTTTTCTGTACCTACGTAAAGCTGTTGATAAAGTGAACTCGCAATAATTTCTTTACTGCCCTTCTAGCTGGGAAAGGTCAGGATGAATATTATTAAGCGGCTTTGAAGTGGAAACAAAGCGGCAAGGAGGACCTTGGTTAAATCCCTGCCTTCCTTACACAAGTCTGCTTTTAGGCCAATGGTCTCATACCTGTCTATGGCCACACATGACAGTCAGTACAGATCTTTATCCCTGGCTCCATTTCCCGAACCAAACGACACTACAGATGAAGTTGGGATGCCAAAAGGTAGCAATGACTTTGCGTTCAAGCACCCCTTAGTTGCATGGAAATCCGATGACTGGTACGGCCAAGGGGATGGGCATGAACGACGCTCAGAAGAGGAGAGGGGCTGGTAAATACGTTATGCTGGTTCAGTGGTCGGTTTTGGCTAATGCTTGCCTTGTCTTGGCCATTGTACCTCGCCGATCAGGCTGGACTTCAGGCCATGGCAGTAGCCCCTATACAATCTGTATGTTGAATATATGTGTCCTCTTCGAGCATTATACCCTCCGATGTTTTCGAAAAAGCTTCAAGGCGCTGCATAAGCAATAGCGAAAAGAATATTTACTGCTAAGTAATGCTACTCTGTGCCATTTTAAATATACTTGACATATCCTCAAACAAACATCTGTGGATAATTTGGGTTGTGCAGTGTAGAAAACTGTTTTTCTGCACAAGCTACCTTTAGGTTAAAGTTTACAAGTTGATTTGCTGGAAAATGCGTGTAAGGTGATTTAATGATTCGTAAATGAGACATTAAAATTAACTCCTCTTCATATGTTACAGTCTACATGAAGCTGTGCCTACAGCAGATAAACATTAAACTAATTTTTTAATAATTATGCTTATTTTAATTATTTGCCGCTCCAAACCCAAAATTGGTAAAACCGTGAAACCGTAAAATAAACTAAATTTGGATAATCATGATGATGATGATGTCGGCCTGCTAGTCGTGTGCCATTGCGCTGCATCTGCATTTGCGTTGCCAAGGTTCCGTCAACATGTTTTTTAATGTGGTTATTACCTTTTTCCACTTAGACGAAGTTTATTGTGCAATCAGCAGTTTTGATGGCATCCCTCTTTCTCACCTGTTTTCACGTCTTTCCTAGACTACGTTGATTTTGCTTTGTATTGGGCTTGGCTTTTTCGCGACAAAGTGTCATGTTGTTCGTGTTTTACAATTTTTATTTCTTTTATTGGTTTTGATTTACTAATTTAAGTCAATTTTAGACGGTTGGTTAGGCAAGGGAGTGCTTCGAGCATGGGGTGGCTAACTCTCTCCTACTTCTCACTGCCACATCGTGACAGCCTCTGGGATTCTGTTTTTGTTTTTAGATGGACGTGACCCTCCTGTTACTAATCCTCATCCTTCGGGTCCTCCTTGTTCAAGGAACGGACATCGAGGGTACTATTGTTGCGCCAATAGGCGCGTCTCCCAATTGGGCTGCTGAGACGAAGGTCCGCGTCGATGGAAACCGTTACCTAGGTTTTGTCAAGCCCGATGGCAGCTTTATCATCTCCGATGTCTCTCCTGGCTCCTACCTAGTGGAGTTTACCAATCCCACTTTCCTCTTTCAGGTGAACGAAAATTCATAAAATGCTTTTATTTCTAACTCCTTCAACTCTACGTTTCTCTCCAAATCAGCGTCTCTCTGACGAAATGATGCTTTTTTTATCTCCATTTTTTCGCAGCCCGTAAGAGTTGATATTAACTCCAAAGGAAAGATTCGAGCTAGAAGCGTTAATTTGCTACGAACCACTGCTGTCAAAGCTGTGACCCATCCTCTTCGTATTGTAACTGTCGGCAAAGCCATGTACTTCCAGGTACTTTTTCTCCAAAAAGACTAATTGGTCGTCTTAGCTTTGGCGGAGATTCATCAGTTATTAACTTTATCACTTTAGCCTCGTGAGCAGCTCCGCACGCTGGATCTACTTCTCAATCCAACAGTCCTGTGCATGGTTATACCTCTCCTCTTTGTAATGCTTATCCCGAAACTCATGGACACCAACGACCCAGAATTCAAGGAGATGCAGAAGAATAGCATTTTCGGTGGCCGCAGTGCTGAAACACCCGACATAAGTGATGTAAGCTCATTAAAGTCAATTTTTCTCCCGTTTTTGTTTGGTTAGATTAATCTATATTCATCTCCCTTGCAGTATCTCTCATCGGTGTCACTTCTCGGTGGAAGTAGCACCAAAAAACAGCCACCCAAAAAGGCAATCACCGCGACCGCTACGTCTACTCACTCCGCGGCGCAGGAATCGCGTAGGGGCGGCAATACCCGAAGACGCAATTAACTAGCTCACTAGGCAAAATTGTGATCTTGTAAAAAGAAAGTGGACGCACCTGATGATGATTAATTTGTATTTTAGCTGTGCTAATGTGTTGCTTAGTTCTTGCCGCAGCCAATGAAACAAACTGCGGGTACGACGAACCGTCTTTTGCTGTTGACGTGTGTGGGCATGTAACGCGTGGTCCGGGGTGGATGTGTCCGCAGGGGTTGATTCATTATGACCGGTAAGTGGAATGATACGAGATTCGACTGGTCTTCCAAAGGCGAACGTAGTATTAGACCCCCTCAGAAATCAACTGATCACTTCCACTGGGTCGTGGATCCTGTATTAATCGTCTCCGACCCGTCGCTGTGTTTAATCTATCTGGTCTTACCACAGGTTTTCAGCACAACCGGCTCGCCTTTGGGATTGACCATCTGTCACAACAAAATTTCTCCAGCAGACGACCAAGCGGACGTTTCACATGAGGAAATAAGACGTGATTCTTTACTGCTCCACCAAGTATTCCGAAAGGAATTGGTTTAGAACCTGAGCTTGGTAATTTGCTTTACGAGTAACGAGTGCGCCACCAAACTTCGAGGATTCACCACCTACTCAATACGATGCGAAAGAGCCCAAGAATGGACTAGAAAAGCCTTGCCTTGAAAAGCAGACCCCGTATTTCGTAGCATTACAAAATCACATGTGGACTAGACAATTCACAGGTAGCAGTGTGATTTCCACACAGCTGGCTCAGGCCGGTTTTTCTGTTTCCAAAGAGAAAGCAAATTTCACCATGAGGAATGAGGCTCGAAATTAGCCCGAAGGAGAAACAACCACCACCAAAGTAGTCGGCTTTCATCCACTTCCGCAAAAAAACTGCTACCAAATGGATATTCCATCAGGTTTTATTGAAGTAGGTAAAATACTTGGTCCTAAATCAGTTCAAGCCATCAAGGCTTACCTCATTCGACATGTGGGGAAGGGGATCGACAACAGATGTGGAGGGGAGGGAGGCGGAGCAAAATAACCCGCATTTTTACTTATTACACATCGGAAGGAAAACAACCTGATTGCACGCCCCATAGTTTTGCCTCCTATTGAAATGCCTTCTTCATCATCCTCGCCATTGTGGCGTTGTGTGCGCGGAGAGAGGCCTGCAACTCGTGAAGAACCTTCTCGCCCGCTTGATTGGTGGGATTCAGCTGGAGCAGACGATTCGCGTCCTCAATACCCGCCTCGAACTCCTCCATCAGGAGGTAGGCTGAGGCACGACGGTAGAGAACCTTCTCAACGTCTCTCAGGTCTATTCCTCGTCCCCCTTCCTCCTCCTCCTCCTCATCCACCTCTTGACTTGCAGCCAAAAGTGTGTTATCTTGGGGAGCGATTTCCAGAGCCTGGGTGCAGAGTTTCACCGCGTAAGCAGGACAACCGGCTTTCAGTTGACATAGTGCCATGTTCGAGAGGAGGCTACAAGTGAACCAGAGAAAAATAAGCTCCAAAATTTTCATTCTACTTCCCCCATAAACCTGTAAGAAACTTATTAGGGCACGTAATTCCCACTTGCTAGTAAAATTTAATCCGTTGAACCCACTTGGACACCAGCCACAAACTGGAAGCAACCAGCTGCATCGTTGGCTGCGCGAAATCCCGAGGTCTATAGGTCACTAGACCTACACACGAATCCCCTTTTGAGAAGTGAGGTGAGAGAAAAAAATAAGATGGACATGAAACCCTGAGTAGATTTTAGGAAGTCTTAGCGGCACAAAGTCAAATGATGGCCTGGATTAAATGCAAATGAAGGGTGTTTCACTCACCAGGGATTCGTAGATGACAACTGTAAGGTGGGAAGCCATTCATGCAAAGGGAGACACGCGGAGCGCCACTTTACCATATCACTACTGGAATGGTTCTCAATTCGCCAATACTTGGAATCTGAGAGTTGGAAGGCATCCAGAAAAGTACATAAAAGCACTTCTAACCAACTGACACTCAATCATGCCGAAATTTCCACCAAGCCGGAGAAGGGTGATACTCCACGCCATCTCTCCGCAGCCAAAACAATCATTTCTGCATCTGTCTTATCCGGATCCAAGTGAAAAGTGGGCTTTTTATTACATCGATGGGGTTAGACGTAGGATTCTTGCCATGGAGTTGGACACAGCGCCTGAAATTGCTCTGAACACCGCACAACTGGAGGTGACCAGACGTCATACCGTTGTCATTTGCTTGCGTCAACAATGGCAGACTTATGGGTGATCTAAGCAGGCGAACTCTGCCTACGTCTGAGTGGAATCAAAACAGTGAGAGCAAAAATCTACTGCCTAAGTGGCGGATAACTGGCAAAAATGACACCAGAAACTACCCAGCAAAATCGTTGTCACGGTGGACCGAAGCCATAGACTTTGCGTCTTCCCAATTTCAGTCAATACATCAGCTGATCAGGCATCATATGGAATTGCTGCAATTGACAGGCACTTTTAGAATGTCTGGGACTATTCATTATGCCTCATGGCGCCTAAACACATTTCCGGCCCTGGATGCAATGTGAAATGACGAAGCTACTCAAAAAGGGCTACGATAAGGCAGAGTACACCAGAGCGAAATAAAGTAATTATTCAAAGACAAATGCCCCATCTTAGGAGAAGAACCCCAATTCTTTGCTACGAAAAATAAGGCGATACGTGATAGAAGTCGAGAGTGTTATTTTGGGGCCCTCATGTCGAGGATGCGGGGTTAAACCTGGTGAATGTGATTCGAGCTCACCTGCCACGCGAGCCGAGGTTAATTCGATGCTGAAGGCGCAGAAGCTCCACATCAAATTCGTGGTGCACGATTGGCAGACGCACTGGCGTAGGATATCCCCTCGGAAACCGTTTAAATGAATAAGGTGTTAGGGAGGATCTCCTATTCCTCATCATGGGTGAAATAGGTGGAGATTAAAGTGTCAGGAACAACTTTCAGTGATGTGTAACGTGGGTGATGAGGTAATTAGTTCGCACTCTTATCAAGTAAGGAGGTAAAGTTGTGGTGAAAGGTGAACAAATGAACTCCACGTATACGAAATGGCATCAATGCCAAACGATCCGCTCAGTTGTCACCTCGCACTTCTAAGGTACCATCCGAACCCCGGAAGACTGAACTTATTTGATGTGTGTGCGTGGTGCCAAACAATTGCGCCTGAGACCTCCCTCCTCGATACGATATGGCACAACATGAGGGTGTGCAAGCAGTAAGCCATGATGAGAAACGAATGAAAATAGTGAATTAAAAGGAAAAGGTGTTATCTCTTCATGACCACGCGCCTCGCTGCAACACTTAGTCGTAAAATTTGCACTTCAGTATGGAAAAGGGGGAAATAAGGGCCCTTTCTCACCCTTCAGGCGATTATCACACCTTCTCTACGTTACACAATCACATGGGAAATATGCAACTGAGAAATAAAGCGAGGTAGAAAGAGAACCGGGTGAGGAAAGGTTTTTTTTCCTCCAGTCTTCAAAGATGTATAAAGCGGAGTTTGCAAACCTGTCTTTATGGGAAGGGATTACAAAGGCGATTGTTGCAGAAAATGGAATTTCCATTAGTATATGCACTAGGCTGGGTGGGGATCCAAACACATATTTAAAAGGAATTCAAACAGCCGCTTCCTGATGCAGAGAAGCTATTGGGGCAAAACACCTCAAACCTATGTGCAGTACTAGTAAATTATAGGTCAAGCTTACCTAAAATGAACTTTCTCCATCGCCTCCACGTCCACCTCAACCCGTTCAGGATCTACTGAATACTGTGCATCCCCATCAAGATCGATATAATCCCCTCCCACCAGGCCAAAGGTCACCTCACACGCTTCCTTCTCCTTCTCCACTTCCTCTGCTCTTACCGAGAGATCGAGTGCGGCACCGATGAGGGTTACAAGTTGCAGGGCTCGAGAGTAGCACGCAAAAGCCGCGATGATGGGAGAAAGATTGTGCGCATCTCCACGCGGAGCCGAGTTGAAAAGCGAAGAACCGCGTGCTTTGAGCACTGAAGCCTGCGCAAACCAGAGACGGGGGGTTGAGGTCCGCCAGGCAATGTTAGTGCCATTACCATGGCTACTAGTGGCTTCTACGTTATCTCCAGTAGCTGCTTTTTTACGCAGAGTGGGTTGATTTTTCTCCTCCTCTTCATCATTCACAGGAGTTGGGTAGAAGGCTTGAGGTGCTGAGAAACCGTCTAGATGGGCTGTCACCTGCAGAGATGGTTAGGAAGAAAGATGCTGACCTGACAAGACGAATGCTCACTTAGTTTGACTTCAATGACGGCAGTAGAGCCAACATTGAGTGTTTGAAGGGCCTTCTCAATAGCCCCCCGGAGGCTGTCGGAAAGGTCAGGAGCTAGGCCAAGACGAAGGCAAAACTTTTGCTGTTGTTGGGGTTGGAGATAGATTATGTGGGGACAATTTTCACCAGTGCAGAGAAAGCAATGTGAGATTGGAATGTTTTCTGTGGCAGTCAGGGTAATCCAGCATTTACTACCATCCGAGACTCCACGAAGCACCGACTGAGTGCTTGCTCTATTGCGGGATATAACTTTGAATTGCTTAATGTGCAAAATGATGCCCATTTAGCACCAATAGACTGGAAAATTGTCTTGCAATCAACCACAACAAACTCGAGGTAATAAAAACAAGACGTGAATCACAGGCATTTTCTAATAAAAGGTAGATACAAATAAGTACACAAAAGGCAAAAGGGATACTACCGCATTTGTGAGGATTGCAACGAACCGCTACTTCGGACTTAAAATTTCGTTCCGTACAGCATGTCGTATACAACAACCCAAACGACCAAAAATGTTGCAAAAGTGGTCATCAAGCCCTCTTTTATTATTTCGCTATATCCACCGTATTCCTCCTCATCCACACGTTGAAACACGGCAGCATAAAGGTAGACGAAGGTACAATTGATAAAAAAGAAGGAAGATATGCCCAAAGCACCCTTTATAGGTAGGGCACCCCACAAAGTGCCTATGATGAGTCCAACAAATTGACGCATCCAGTAGACGGTATCGAGAAACTCATCCTTGTCAGTCCAACTGGATTGTGGTCTAATGGATTTCTGAAATGTAGCTAGCAGACCCGATTGGCTTAAATCTTTATCCTAAACAATAAAATCCCCTAAATTAAAAACCACACCTTCGTGGAAGCACGCATTTCACACCTTTAGTTGGTAACAACCAATCAAGTGGCGAACAAAGCAAAAGTAGAAGTAAGCATCGATGACATAAACTAGCAAAACTTGTTTCAAATTTTGGTGAAACAATATAAAATGTCATGACCCACGCAACGACCAGTATTGAAAAATATCCCAAGCGTCAGATATATGACAACCAATTAAAACTTAAGATTAATGCGAAATACCAATTCTAGGATGCATAGGAAGCTACAAATACTGTATTGTAATACAATAGTGGTTTATCCCTCGGTTCTGGTGAGGCGTCACTTTTGTACTTCGAATTAGCCCCCTTGTACCTCGCTGGGTGGGCTGGCCTTTTGGGCCATGCCAATAGCCCAGACACCTTCTCCGTGCTGAATATATATATTCTGCCCAAGTATTGTGTCTTCTTTCGTCTTCAGGGAGTCTTGGGACGCTACAGTATTGCCTTGGGTGGACCCTGAATCCGTAATCAGCCAAAATGCTGCAAAGAACATGTATTTATAGCGCACAATTGGGCTGAAAGGCCACATTTTATTCGAACAAGGTAGCGGATTAGTGCACTTCTGCTGCGGTGATTTGGCGTGCTGTTCAGGCATAATAATTTAGTTGTTCAAATCTTGGTTTAGGTAAAGAGGCCTATAGCACCTCGAAAAATCTCAGAAAGCGAAAACTGACACATTACTCAGGCACAATATTTAATTAACATAGAGAAGGAATTAGGGCTACTGGCATGGCCCGGGGGCTAGCCCACCGTGCAAAAGTACGCTGGGGGACGTCCGAAGTGGCTCTTACCAAAACTGGGGATTAAACAACTGTTGTACTGCAAGGGGCACTTTGTATCTTGGTCATTATAACCTCACGGGGTGGGCTGACACCCGGGCTGTACCAGTGGCCCCAGGTCCTCCTTTATATAAAATGCGTATGGTCTGCCCGAATATTATGTCATATTTAGTCTTCAAGGAAGTGCTGCACATATGTGCTTAAATTTCTTTGACGCCTTGCCTTATGCAAGTTCTCTCCCTCCCTGCATATGTTCTTCCATACAACAGTGGATTTTATGACCTTGAGGAAGAGTAGAGACGCCATATTGTTGGCAGAGGCAATTGAACCCGACCCAAATATGCAACTATCCTGATTTTTGTCACTGAATGCAGAAATTTTCACATAACTGAGGAAGGAAAGACTTCTAACTAAGAAAATGTGGAACAATGTCCATCTCTGACAACTGCTCCAGTCACGCTATCGGCATGAGGGCTGGTGACAAATGAGGAGTCTAGACCTGAATCAGTATGAAAAGTGCTTTCGGAGAGGTCTATGGTATCTTTGCAATTATACTAATTATGCAAATAAGCAGTGTATCTCCCTTGTCTCTGCTGGCTAAATAGTGTCCAAATACGGGGAGAATAAATGGCTTGGTAAATAAACGGAAGGATGGCTAAAAATAGATAAGCAAGTAGAGGAATAAGCAACATTGGAATTGGAACATGGTAAAGTGGGGTAAAAAGCTGTCTTCGTAAAAATACTATAAATTTTATTTTCAGCAACTGACAAATAGCGCGGAACTAGGGCTAAGGTAAATTTGCGGAGCTACGTCAGCGATGGTGAGATAAAATGCCTTTTTGCATGCAAAAAAGTAATAGCAGGCTTTGTTGAATAGTGTATGTTCCTGAAGCACAGGCATGATGCAAAGAGCTTAAAAAGGGAGATTTACAAATGTCAAAAACAAACATGGAAGTGAATGTGTATTGAGCTAGATAGGCACTTAGCTCCTGCAAATTAGGCCAAATTTTAAAACCCTAATCTTTTGACTAAGCTAAGTGTAATACGATAGTGGTTTATCCCTCGGTTCTGGTGAGGCGCCACTTTTGTAGTTTGAATTAGCCTTCTTGTACCGCTCTGGTTGGGCTGGTCTTCGAGCCATACCAATAGCCCAGATAACTTCTCTGTGCTGAAAATAGATTCTCCCCGGGTGTTAGGTCTTCTTCCGTCTTCAAGGAAGCCTTGGGACGCCACATAAAAGCTTTCCAGCTCATCGATAGAGATTAGTGCTAATGTATTTCAAGGCGGGTAGCGACTTGAAATCAAGGTTGTGTTTGGTGTAACCTCACCTAAAATCCTTAATCAACACCAATAACTAGAGTTTACTGTAAAAGTTTTGCTTCTATCTTTTCCATTATTACTTTACAAATTTTAAAAACATTTTGTAATCATGTTTTACTTTTAACTTTAAAACTTTTGGCATGCATATTATTTTTAATTATTTACGAAATGCAGTTACACAGAAAATTTCTGTGAAATTTATTTATATGCAACTGTGAAGTAGTTTTTAATTCTGTCACCTTGTTTAGATTGGCCACAATCTCAAAGTTCCCGCAGATGTGTGCCCTTCAAACAGCTCTAGTGCTGCGCGTTTGCCATTTGTATTGTCCGCAAACTACTAATTATGTAAGATATCTCTTGCCTATTGGTAAACATTAGCGTCAGATGGATGAATTTCAGTAGTATACTGTCGCTATCGATTTTCATATCGGCGGATGGAGATCGGGTTCTCCACTTTTCTATTCATTGGTATAATACCACCATCATTTAGTTGATTTTTGTCAAATTTTGAGGACTTCTGTCGTGTTGGTCATCTTTTTGAACATTTTTTGGATTCGGCCGTGCTGTACAAAATGTATTATCTGATTACCAACTTTTAATGAGCATCTACTGCCCTACTATTTGCAATATTGTTTTCGTAAATATCTGGCATGTTACTAATTCTGGTCGCTTTGTGGCGACTATGTTGTTTGAGTAGCGCATAATAGAGCAGATCCCTTTTCTTTCTGGTGACCTGTACAATTTCCAATCTCGTTAAGAAGTGCTTGCTGCCTCTTTTTTACTTCATAGTTTGGACTGTTGCGAAGACTTTATTTTAGTGGTTTCGAAAACGCTCAATTAGTCTGTTTTATTATTTCCGTTTAGTGTCCCTGCAAAATGTCAGCTAGCTGCCGTTCCAACTCAAGCGTGGCTTCTGGCAGTTTTTATAGCTCCTCGGTGGGGAACACCATTGGCGTCTCAAGTCATTTTGTTCAGGTATGCTTTTGCTTTTTTGGTACCGTAACTGTTCCACCGTTGCGCGGTTACTGTGCTTTCATTTTGAATTCAACCATTTTCACTATCTTTCGCTTGTATGGTCTTTTTTAAAAGGTTTAAATTTTCAGTAAGTATTTCTAACATTTATGGGCCTTGTATTTGCATTTTTTCCGCCACTTTAAGAAATCCAATCCTGTTAGCCTTTGGCGAGTGTCAAATTTCATCGTCAATCGGTATCTTGGGTTCAAATTCGAGATGGTCGTCTTGAGTTTCTGCTTTGATGCATGACTAGTTTGATGTGAAGCCTTTCAGTCGTAGAGGTCTATATTGGTCTTGTGCCGTTGAGGTATCGATGCTGGCATTTGAAACACTACTGCTCTTCTCGGTGGCATGTCGATCTCGTGGAAACCTAAGTGTGCTCCCGTGTACATTCAGCAAGGTTATTCGTCTTCGCTTCGACAGCCTCATGAGTCGTAAACAAAGTTTTCTTATTATCGGCTTTTCTAGGAGTAATCACAAAGGATTATAGACTCCACGGCATTTCCACACCGCTATACTGTGGATCATAATCAGTTCACCGCCTTATTTTGTGGTGGATTCAAAGTGCTTCCCCAATGCTTTTTTCCAAAATGAATTGTGATCTAGATATAAAGTGAGCGGTGATGAGTGTCGAAGGTCATTTATCGAGTCTCCTCCCAATGATAAACTGTCAACCGCGTTGATCCTACCAACGTTTACAGTTAGGTTAAGAAAGCACCGGAGGCGTTACGTTAGTCTCAAGGAGCTTGCGATATTAATGTTTTGACCTCAAATCCTAATGTTTTATTGCGGCATGTTGAGGTGACTAAAAGTCCACTTCATGCGCAATTTTCTTCTCTTTGCTCTGCCGAAACACGAGAAAAGCAGAAGAGAAGTCATATTTCCAAATGGAGGTGGAAAATTGAGTAGAAAATTCCTTACTACCACTTTGTTTTCTCCAACAGAAATATAATCCCCTTTTCATGGAAATGTGGTATTAGCCCCGTCAATTAGTACTCAGAAAATGGGTTCGTGTAGATGCTCTCTTGTGGCCTCAGGATTGCGCATTTATGGTAATCGGTTTTTCCGGTCCTATTGATAGGGTTGTAGTGTGCATTCTGTTTTCTTCTCAAGTAAAAGCAACACGTGATTGCAACGTAATTGTACCCCTCTCTACTTCACTCCCCTTTTACAATTAAAAGCATGGCTACGTTTCACATGATCTACCCTTACAAAGTCGAGCAGTTATGAAGGGCCTTTGTGTACATTTTCCACACTGATATCAAAATGCTGGTCCATCTGTACTGTCAG